AATGTTCTACGACTACGCCTGGGAGCCCGTGTGCTCTGAGTCGAATCTCGAACGCAATGTTCTGCGACTACGCCTGGAAGTGTGTACACCCTGAGTCGGTTATCGGCGAACACGCCACGCACGTCGACAACGCCTGAGAGTACGTCTACTCTGAGTCGCTTCACCACACGAAGTCTATGTCTCACTGGCTCGGATCGATGCGCGCAGACCGATTTCGACAAAGCTCGGATTTCGAATGAACCTTCGTCCCATGGACGAGGTCCCTTTTATACTCGTCAATCCTTGTTTTCCTAATTTTCATTGGTCGGATCCGAATCAAACAGTCCGCCGACCCCGGTCGCGACGGATGTTACCGTTTTCCTCGATTCCGCTGAAACAAAGCGTCGCGCCGCCCAGACCGCGCCGTCGACATCGATGTCGCCGCTAGACGACTCTACTCGTATGAATCATGCCGCCGCGCGACTGAAGCCGCCGCGGATCCATTGTGTCGCCGCGCGACTGAAGTCGCCGCCCTCTTTGGTCGCCGCGACTCTACTGACGGCCCTAACGGACCCCCCTCGACAATTACCGCGGTTTCCTCAAAGTATCGATTGATCTTTGAAGCGATCCGACCAGTCTACCTGCGTGGTGAAGTGTACGTGATCGTGTTCGTTTTTTATTGTCATGTTTGACTATCGTGCACGATGATGTACGCAACATCTCTCATCTATTAGCATTGTCAATATGATTTATTTCGAAACTGTCATAATTGCAAAATAAAATTTGAGTCCTTTTTCTTTTGAGTTACGTTCAAAATATTATTAAAATGATTAAATACTATGCATGCACCGCGGCTTCACATGCGTGGCTGTCAGACATGTGCCTTTCTAGTGTCGAAGGGGTATTAGAGTGAATGGGCAATCGTTTTAGAGAAATTTGCAGTTAAAGTTGAGCCTGCAGTCACGTGTACTATTGTATTGTATAACTACCAAAACTTAACTTCCACAAACAGCGAGCGCGGCGGATGTGAAGGCTAAAGTGGACGCTTGTAATTTCCTTGTATTTCACTTGCGGTGTTCGAGTTCGATTCTCGGTCAAGTTTCTTTATTTTTAATAAAAGTTGTTTTATAATTTAATTTGGTTTTATTATTACCTGCAATGTTATATTATTAAATGTGCACAATACTTTTTATATATAAGATAAAAAATACATATAAAATTAAAAAAAAGAATTTTTTATTATTTACTCATTTATTGTTACAAAAATTATTTATTAGAAAATTTAGACCTTGCTGTACAATTTTGTGGGTGTAAATTAAGGTAAAAGCATGTAAAACACAAATAATTCACACACCATAAACATTTTATGAAAGAATAATTAGTTTTACAAATACATATCATATTATAAATACTCGAAGGAGAAAACATTGAGTAACATTGTAAAAAATTGCATAGTATATTTATAGCATGAAATGTATTTGTAAAACTAATTATTCTTTCATAAAATGTTTATGGTGTGTGAATTGTGTTTTACATGTTTTTACATTAATTTTCACAAAATTGTACAGCAATGAATTTTCTAATAAATAATTTTTGTTACAAAAGATAAGTGAATAAAGAATTCTTATTTTTAATTTTATATGTATGTTTTATTTTGTATGTAAGAAGTATTGTGCACATTTAATAATATAACATTGCAGGCAATAATAAAACCAAATAAAATTATAAGATAGAGGTAAATTAAAATGACTCACCCTGTAAATAATAATATATTTTATTTTATATACGTATATATATAATTTGTATTGTATATTCAGATAATGACCTCTTAATATTAATTATTCTTTTGTTTAGATGTATAAGATTTCTTATAAAAATCATAAAATAAGTAAAGAAATATAATTAGATTTATAATAAAGAATGCTACAAATCCTTTTGGCACATTGCAATTGGAAAACTGCAGTAGAGGTAATACCATGCAAAGAAGTTGTATCTAAAATTTCAAAAATAAGTAAAAATATTAGAAACAAAATATTACAAACTTGTAATGGAGTATGCAGAGGCATATTGAAGTAAGTAAAATACAAACATATTGAAGAATAATACGTTTTAGACGAAAAGTTACGATAATGTCACATGTGTAATTTAATAATAAAATATTGTATTGATACTTGCCATCTGTAGCTTAGTTAATAATGGTTTAAAAGGAGATATCGTCCGTTGGAGATTCGGACTCCATGCACTGATGAAATAGTATATGTACATGATTACATGCACAAAACAATTGAGCAATGTGAAAAACGAAGCTCTTACATCCAGAAAGTATTTCAAGAAAAACCACGCAAATGTCACATTAGATACATGATGAAACGTGTGCAAACTAGACACCTGGTTTTGTTTCTTCCTCAATACGAATATACAAGTTTCGATGTAATCAGAAAGTTTTAGCAGGTATACCCACCACAATGTACTAAACACCTGAAACATAAATTATATACATACGTGTGTGTGCGTGTGCGTGTGCGTATACGTGTGTGTGTAATGTACAAGGTTGTAATCATTAATAAAGTAATAAATATTGTATGTATAAATATGTTTATGATATCCGATATGATAGCCAACATTAAAAGGATTAAACTATTGATTAATTGTAAAATCAATAATCTCTTCGAGAAGCTTAACGTACAATATTTGAAAAAATAGACTTTTATTTAAAATAATTGTTTCTTTATGCTAATTAAAATATATCCAATGCCTAACAGTATAAGTTTTTTAACCAGGCATTTTCTGCTTTTCTGTAAAATGATATTATTGCAAATGTTTTTATTGTAGCTTAATAATTATTATATTGTGAAAATATACTTTAGGCGCATCCAAGTAGCTTGCATAATGGTTCCCACAGTTTGCAACGCTGAATTCTGTGAAATGTGAAAACCACCCGGCATCTTTATGTAGTTTTAGGAGCCATAAGTTTGCCAGAATTTGAAATAAGTTATAAATTAATATAAAGGTTCTCAATTTATATGGCGGTCGATTTTTCATGTAGCAAGGACCAGCGTACAGAACAAAATATAAATATCCCACAGTTATTAGCAATACTGGATACGGCGAAGATATAAATAGCCAATCACGACTTTCTGGAGCTGCAAAAATATAATTTGTTAAATAGTGTAATCATTTTCTATCCACGATTCCTCTTCGATAAAACTTTATATTATTAGTATTTTCAAGTATACGATATTATAATGGTGGCTGTTTTAGTAATTTACAAATGTTTCTTCTAACTCAGAGCTGTTCACGATTTGCACATTTCGGCCGATTTTCGCGAGTCACCTATTATCCCATACGCTATTACCCATACTCGAATCACCTGGCAACCTTAACCAGTGCGCGGCACTCAGCTTCAAGTACGACCGCTCTGTAATCCTATGCCGTTGCGTGTCCCTTGACTGCCAAATGTCAGTTTTTGAAACCACTTAACAAAAAAAACGTGTCAATAATTAAATTAATTATTTAAAAACATTTTAAACAAATTACGTTTCAGAAACTGACATTTGGCAGTAAGGGGCACGTAACGGCATCGGATTACAGATACGTCGTACCTGAAAGCTGAGCACCGCGCGCTTGGTTACGGTTGTCAGGTGACTCGAGTAGGTAATAGACGGTGACTAGCGAAAATCGGCCGAAATGTGCAAATCGTGGCTCTGTTCTAATCTATTCCAGATACTTTTATTTCGATAGATAAAAAATTGTCTGTATTATACAATATTAATAAAATCAGTACACACACACACACTCACACACTCTCACACACTCACACACTCACACACTCGCACACTCGCACACTCGCACACTCACACACACACACACACACCCACACACACGACACGACACGACACGCATACACATTTTTATTAGATATCATAAATATAATACAAATTTTATTTTTATTTGGAAGTTTTATAAACATGCCAAACTGCCATCGATATAAAATTACTTTGTTTTCTTAATAATTCTTGTCAATTTTTCATAGAATCCTATACTATAAGCTACACTAGCATAAAATTAAAAAGATTGAATTACTTACACGATAGTTCTGTTAACAAATAATTGTATGTTTGCACCAAATCCATCATAGAAGAAATATAAACAGTTTCAGAAGTAGCACATAGACATATATAAGTAGTATAAAATGTGGAAAATGTGGAAAAGTATTCCTTAACGTTTAATGAACTTATTTTATTTTACTTATGATACTCTATTTAAAATCCACATTATTCCAATAGAAGTGTCAATTACTACATCCGTACCTTCGACACGCTAGACTGATTCTGTCACACATATTACGGTGCTGATATATAAAACATAATAAAACAATGGAAAATAAATTTAGAAGTCAGTGTAAACCTAGCATACATTTAAATTCATTAAAACGTTCAACTGATTAATTATTTATTGCTTCATGATAAACTGAAATGCTAAGAAGATACATACAATACGAAGTTGCTTATACAGGGTGAATCTTTCTGTAGTGACCTCATGCGAGGACCGGTGCTCGGCACGTATTAATTGACTTTTCACACTTTTTAAGGTTTAGATTTGATATTTATTCGGATACTGAATACGTGGCTTACAACGACGTTCGTTCGTGCGTCGACGAAAGACTTCTTACTTCTCTACCTACCTACCTCTACCTACCTCTACCTCCACTACCTTCTGTTTGCGCCATCTGTCTAGCGCTCACAAATGTAACTTAAATTTAAAAAAGACGTTATACATACGATACAAGACGCATAACATCTAACTAAATACGTGAACTCAATAAACTGAAAATAATTGCAAAACAATAGACATATATGTAAACAAACTCAAACAATATATTGCACGAACATTTCCATATCCGACAAAATTTTTGAGAAGGTAGAACGGATCGAGATGAACGGAAAAGTCCTGTACCGTTTTGCAATTTTTATAATAGTTAACGAGTAATTAATTATTAAAAATCGTTGTCTTAGGCCGACCTACCGCCCAATTCGAGCGCGTGGCAAGATGTGCGCATAGCAATATCGATCGCCGGGCGGTCACATCTTGCCAC